TATATAGACAGAAGTTCGTTAAAAAAAATACGTATTATGTTAAACAATTCATTCATCAAAGTAAGTTTATATCATACGTATGTCTGGTACTGGGGCAATTACATTTGGTGTACATTGTATAAACTGAAAGCTAAAAGAAAGCATACGACAATGCTTCTTTATGTACATAAAGCTATAGCCAGAAGTTCGTTAAAAAAGAAAATACGTATTATATAAAACATTTCATTCATCAAAGTCAGTTTATATTATAATGTATGTCTGGTCATGAGACAATTACATTTAGTGTGCATGGTATAAACTGAAAGCTAAAAGAAAATTGTAAAAGTTTGATTAGTACTAGAAAGCTTACATAGGAAGACAGTACATTTAAAATGACCGTAACCAACACGACTTGTCTGTCTATCTGTCTGTTGGTCGGCCAGTTTTTGTGTCTGTCAATATCTATATATGGATATATGTACTTATGTATGTATACTTGTCTTTGCCATACTAATGTAGTGTCTATTCTCGAAGCATACGTGTTTATCATAATTTGTAACGACCTTCGTTTTTTTACCGAGGGTTTTATATTTTATAGGACCCGAACCAGGGGCGTGATGGTCGCTGAATTAGCACAAGGAATAAATAATGAATAAAATGTTGTTACAACTTTTAAAGTGGTTGACCCATAAACCCAATATGTATATTGTTAGGGTACTTCAGAAACTCGATGCCAAATTCCCTCATCACCCCACCCCTCAAACACACAGGGGTAGATTTTATTTTTACATTCTATGAGAGACCCGTTATCATTCATAGGTGATGTATAAATGCATCGGAAGGTATATAATTTAAATTTTGAGCTTCTTTTTTTATAATCATTATTTCTCTTTGGTTATATATATATATGAACATTTCTCTTAAATGATACAAGATTAGTCCCCATTGGTAATTATACATGATCAACATAAATTTTCAGTAAAATGTTGGACAACGGAAGTAATAGACCAGATAATCGGAACTACGTTGCTGTCCAAGCATAAGCATAGAATTAAGCTGGCCGAATCTGATTCAATTATTCAATTATACTATACCCAGGGCCGGCGGAAACAATTCTTTATTGGTGGGGGGGGGCTACCATCCTATGATGGACCAACTAGGCCCCGAAAGCTCCTGGAAGACAGATCTCTTCGGAGACGATTTCTGAGCGATTTCTGGATAATAAATTAGTCGGCAATGAAGTGAAGTTTTAATTCTTTTCTAAATCCGTTAGCACCACAACACAGTAGATGGTGGTACTGTACTGCTGAACTGGAAAAATATATGCATAATAATACCAATTTTTATCCGATTTTGATTAAACTTACAATGCATGTTTATAACCCTCAGATTTCGGTTCCTTTCGATATTGGCGCATATCGGACTGCCACTTCAAGGATTATGGCTCATGCTTGTACGACAAATCTCATTTTTAGCTTGTGGAACCTCTAGATGTCACAAATTTTATTTGATTGTAAAACACTTTCAAATATATCACTGTTATGTCATAATTGCGGTTGCATGAGTTCAAAATTCGTAAAAATCTGACTGACAATGCCGGATGAAATGGCCGCTCCCCTTTACGCAAATAGTATAAAAGTATGTAATGCACATTCTGTGGACCATCTAGAGGTAACAATTTTAATCCGATATATGTTTATATTAATTATATCACAAAGATCTGGGTTCCGTTCGATATTGCCGCGTATCGGACCGTAACTTTCTAGATTATGGCCCCTGATTGTACGAAAAATCGCGTGTTTCACTTGTGGACCTCTAGGGGTCACAATTTTTATATGATTTTAAAAACCGTTCAAATATCATCATGACACCATCATTACGGTTGTGTTCGCATTTCTTGAAAATTGGACGGAAACTTTGCGACAAACGGCCGCTCTCCTTTACGCAAATAGTGTAAAGGCATGTAATACGAAGGTCGTGGACCATCTAGGGACAGCCATTATTTTTCGATTTAGACGAAACGTAAAACGAGTATAGATAGTTTTTGGATACGTTCAATTTTGGTGCGCATCGGCCCCTTGCCTTTTACGAATAATATTTGAAATATGAATGAAGTTTGTGAACCTTCCTGACTCGTGAATTTTGTCCGATTCATATTTTGAAACTTACACTATGTGTTAAGAATCAAAGTCCTTGGATGTGTTCGACTTTAGCACGGATCAGACCTTCCATTCTAGAGCTATGGCCCCTGCTTTTAGGTAAAATGTGAAATATGTATGACGTAGCTCGTGGGGGGCGGGGGGGGGGGCTACAGTTGTTAATGATCAAAAGAGTCCAATTGATTTTACCCTTTCACAATACATTTCTTACAAAATGTGGACGTATGTTGCATGGCAACCGCTTATTAAAACTGGCCATGACTGATAGCTGTAAATGATTTGAAGGATAAGAGACACAAGGAAAGAGTGTGAGAAAAACTCTATCCCATCGTGTTTCTAATTACCTAATCTCTCATAGATACAACGGAAGTGAAATAAAGATCGACTGTTCAGTGAACTTCATTGTAACCAGTTACGTCATTGTATCTAACCGAATAGTTACTTACCTGCAATAACCAGGAGAAAGGAGTATTTGCGGCCATACTAACAAGAATCGTTTTCTATTTGACGCGAATATGTTAACAAATGTCTCAATTCAAAACTTTAAAAAAAATAATAAATTACTTTGATTTATTATATAATAACAAAACAAATCAGGAAATATGAAACATTAAAAAAGTAATATGTCACAGATTTATTGCATAAACTAAACTAAGATATTAATGTGACGGACCAGAAAGTGCGTGTATGTAATTGAAACACTCTTATTTCATTTGCTTCTGTCATTCTATTTAATTCTTTAGCAGCTTTATGGTGCCTGCAGAAAATAACATTCCAGCACAAAACTTTTTTGTACTTCTGATATTAAAACAATAAATAAATATAACAGGTTTTATCCATATGTACTTCTCAAATGAAAAAGTACGATGAAGGGGTGGGGGGAGCACTTTGTATCATAAGGTTTGTAATTGAGTCAAGTGGCGTTTTTCGTACCTCAAGTTTGTACGTGACAAGACCTTGGGTCACCGGTCTAACCTCATAGCATTTCTCTGCATTCTCTGGTTACCCCTGCGACCTTGAACATTATTCACATTTAATTGTACCATGAGTTAGTCAAGGGGTGACCCAATCTGTGTCGACTCCCTCTCCACAGGTAATATTGTGGTCAAAGATGGGACACCAACCCATGGCAATCTGATCGCACGGAAATTTATTACTTTTAGTGTCTAATTGGCTCAGCGGCGTGCATATATTTGAATATACCGAGGACCAACTGCTTGGTGAGCCTAGTACATTTCAAATATGTAAGAAAAAACAAATTTAATAATTTTTACTATTCAAAAAAAGAAGGGCAGCAAAGTTAACAGCCTTAATTTCTAAAACCTACTTTTAGTTGCATGGCCCCTGCAATGAATGCCCAAGGTCGTCGCACACCTTCGTCCCCTCTCTGCACGCCACTGAATAGAGGGTGTTAATGTTAAGTAATAACAGAGTTAGAACCGTTCAAATCATTTGAGATCAAAGCTATGCTCACAGTTATATATTGGTATATGGGTGTCTAGTTGATGAATGGGCAACTGAGATTTATAGCGTACACTAGATGACAATGGGTGATCAGTACAGTGGATTATTATTATTATTATCATCAATCCCTTTGTCAATTTAAACTTGTTATACATTGATCAATGACTAGAAACATATAAACCTATCAAATATTTCTAAACGGACATAAACAGTATTGAAATGACATGGCGAAATTTTGCCCGGACAGCGGCGCTATGGCCTATCCATATTTCATCCCAAACTAACGACCAGGTGTTGTTCCATACCAGACCCTCCAACCTGAACCAAGCTGGAAAAATCACGAGGAACTTCAAAAGAGCTAAACCTCTAACCCAATATTTTCCATAATATTCGAAATTAAAAACACGAATTTCAATTCGAAATTTGTCTATTTCAATCAATATTGATGTTGTTAGCTTCCCGTGAAAATATGGGATTGTAAAATCCTATATCTTATAGGAAAGGGTCATTTTAAAATCAATATACGAATCATGTATTTTTATGGCTTCGGATATCTTGCAAGACAATGTGGAAGTAATTAGTGATTCACAAACAACAAAATAATAATAATGATATTCGTGTAGAATGCATTATAGCAAGCGTAAACAACTGTCCTTCGATTTTGATATCACGTATTTCATAGAACATAATTCATTGGAAATTACAATAGCTTTTTTAAAGAAAAAATGAATATAAAGCACTTTATATACATTCATATTATATAGATGATAGCTTTTAGACCAATGTTCGTCTATTGTAAGGTTCAAAGAATAGATTCATACGCCCTTCAACTGAATTCCTAATATCAAGGGTTCTTTAGCGTGCACAGCAACTTGTACACATGAAAGTATAAAATTTAATCGTATTCATTACTATTAAAGGAACAACAAGCTAGACATGTTATTATTTTTAATATGGCGACCGCTATAAAATCATGTCATGTAGTAAATCAGAGTTTTAAAAAAATCATGAAGAACGATTATAACTATAAATATCTAAGATACAGAAAACTTATGAATAAAATTAATTAATTTAAATCTTAAATGTCCATAAAATAAAAACTGATCCATGGTTGGCATGGTTTTTTATAAACAAAATGTCCTTTCAATTGGGTATAACTTATTATTATTATGTTCGTGACTCTATCCGGAAAGGTCGCTTTAATTTGTCCCCGGGGTGGCCGGTAAGACAACAGACAAATGAAAGACAAGCTTGAACTCAGTTAACTTTTAAATAGGCATAATCATGATGAATTTGTCATATCACAGCGTTTTGTAATTTGTCTGCGTCAATAATCCGACAAGATTTGTTATCCAAGTAATCCACAGAAATACGCAACTGTCAACCACAACTGCATATAAAACCGATAGAAGTTTTACAACTTCACCATTCTTTCACGACCCTCGGACAGAAGGTAAATACATTTTCAGTTCATATTTCAGTTGATTTTGTTTCACTTTAAATTGAGAGTGGGCTGTTTTAATATCTTCGGTATGGTTTTTTTTTCATATGTATTCGCCGTTTTAGAAAACTATTTCTTCATCCAGGACAATCGATTTTAAACCACAAATCGAATTATTTATTGTTATCAAAAATATATTTATATTTTACATTGGCAATGAGAGAGAGAGAGACAGAGAGGGAGAGAGGGAGGGGTAGGGGGTACAGTGTTATTTCGATAACATAGGGATCTGTAGCACTGGGAGGTACCCGGAGGACCTGTAGAACATCCCGCAGGCTTGGGATCGAAATCTGTCACTTTATTCAGTGACACTCGACCGCTCAACTCCCCACACTGATACGGAGGCGGCATATACATTTTGATACCCTAAAGTATAAATATGTATTTTAAAATGTGGCTCATGGCCCGTGCATCGTGTCAGACGTCTGAGATCTATTTCTAATCTGTTATCCAATCATTGTGACGGGTGTCGCTCAAGGGTTTATTTTTTTATGCGCCTGTATCCAGAAATAATTACAAGGATAATGTGTTCAGACATAGAGAAGTTAATTTTGTTTCCTTTTACATAGTTTTTAAAATAAAATGCTTAACACGAATACGTTTTTTTTCTCTTTAAGATCAAAATTAATAATGAAGGTTGCAGTTGCTCTTGTTTGTATGACCGCTATGGTCACCATGACATCCGGTAAGTACATTTACCTTAGTATTGCCATCTATTTTAAATCTTATATACTGCAAAATCCCACGCTTGAAAATGAACATTAAGGCACAGGCAGAACAAATAATCCATATTTCGCAACCTAAAAAGCGATAAACATTCGAAGAAAACACAGTACACTGACTGATTAATTTGCTTAATATTTTAAAAGGTAGTAAAATAGTAAGCATACATAGTATAAAATTAGGTTCCTCATGAAAACAGGGAACTGAATCAAACCACACCGTTTACGGCGTCTTCTCAGTAATTACTCGACGGCAGTGAAGGCTACATAGGTGGCATAGATTACTGGATAAAACCGCACTATCTTAGTGTTTTCTAAGACTCGAAGACGAAGACTGAGCACTGAAAGCTAAAGTAGAAAGGGGGGCTTGTTGTAATCCAGATGAAATGGCCGGAAGCGGCATATCCTGCTATATGTTCATAGCACCAACCTTGATGTAGGAAGTGTCACATGTTCTATATTTGTTCTTACAATGGATATATTTTCGGTTTACAGCCCAAGGTATGGGTGGCATGGCTGGAATGGGCGGAGCAGGTGGAATGGCTGGAATGGCTGGAATGGCCGGGGCAGGTGGATTGGCTGGAATGGCTGGAATGGGCGGCAGAATGGGTGCAATGATGAGATTGCTTCCCATTTTACAAGGTGCCGGTGGTGGTGGACAAATGAACCCTTTACTATTGATGTCCTTGTTGCAGCAACAAAATGGCGGCGGTCAAGGTGGCGGAAACAATTTAATGAAAACGATGATGATGATGAAAATGATGAAAACAATGGGTGAAAACGGCCCTTTGCTTATGTTGGCCATGAACCAACAAAATGGAGGAGGTTCTAGTATACCAATGCCTTTGCTTATGATGATGCTGTCTGGTAATAGTGAGGGTATGAGTGGCATACTACCCCTTTTATTAATGCAACAGGGGAATAATGCCGCTGCCCCTGCCCCTGTCCCGGGTTCTGCTCTAGGTCCACCTCCCATGGGCGCTGCTGCTCTCAACGCCCCTGCCCCTGTCGTATAAAAGCTGGTGTAGTTATGCCCCTTTGTTAATCAGTTTGGTGATAACACACTATATTGTTCATTGTCCATAATGTTTTGTAGAATTAATATCTTTCTGTACATGAATTTCTACATCTCAATGATCTTACTGTATGGAAATGAATAATCTACGGCTCGTTATCTTGTTATGAAACCGAAAGATGACGTCAAATTATAATATATCTTTTGTTAGTTATTCTTGTCTATTTTTGGTTATTCGATTATATATCCATTTGGGTAAGATGCTGTCTAATGTATATGAATACCCCAAATCGACTAAATGACGTTTCTTAAATCCGTCATTTTCGCCAGTTTTTGTTCATATATTTTAACTATTTAAAATAATTTGAAGCATATTCTAGTAGTAGGTATATATGTATTTATGCGTGTGTCCACTTAAGAAACCACTAATACTATTCTGATATATGTATGTATTATATACATGGATATATCCATTTGATTAATTATTATGCATTATTAAATAATTGTTACAAAAATATTTTATTTAGTTATTAAATGTATATTTAAAAGTGCATTATGTTTTTATATACTGGTTAGAATATGTCATGAAATAAAAAAACCGGGACTACAATGGACACGATGATAACATAGTCCTAGGAACTGAAAATTTAACAAGAATATCATGAGATATATACTATTCAAAAAAAGTAGGGGATATTTGATTTTTAAGTGTTATTAAAGTCACCTAATGAAACTGACGAAGAAACAAATGACAAAATGAAATGAAGTTCACATTCATCGATTTATTCCAAATGATCGTTAGACTAAGTAAGGCACAGACTGACCATTATAAGGGTAAAATGATACCCGGGTCAAACAGCAAAGTTACCACAGCATCACAACCAAGTCAGTAACGGGTAAATCCTCCTCTGTTTGCCAAACAAGCATTGATCCGACGTGGCATACTCCTAATGAGACGTCTAAGGTCATTTTGGTCCAGATTGTTCCATTCCTGTTGCAACGCAGCAGCAAGTTCTTGGACATTGGCAGGACGTTGTTGACGTTGACGTAACCTCTGTCCAAGCATGTCCCAGACATGCTCGATGGGGGAGAGGTCGGGACTCAGTGCTGGCCAAGGTAATGTGGTGATGTTCTGTTGTTGGAGGTAACCTGTAACGATCCTGGCCCTGTGACATCTTGCGTTGTCATCCTGGAAGATGAAACGGCGGCCACAACATGGACTGCCAAGATGTTGTCCCGGTAGTACTGGCCTGTAACACGCCCTGCAACAACATGTAAAGCCGTTCTTCCAGCAACAGTGATGCCTCCCCACACCATAACAGAACCACCCCCAAATCGATCATGTCTGATGACGTTAACGTCTTGGAAGCGCTCGTTTCGACGACGCCACACCCTCCTACGTCTGTCCAAAAAATCAACAGTGAACCTTTACTCATCTGAAAACATCACATTGCTCCAGCGTCGATTATCCCAGTGTTGACGATCCCTACACCAACGACGTCTTGCCTGAATGTGATGATCTCTCAAACAAGGGATCACGCGAGGACGTCGGGCGCGAAGGTGACTCCTATGCAGTCGATTCCGAATCGTCTGGCCACTCACTCTCACACCAGTGTCTGTTTGAAGACGAGCGCTGATCTGATTTGCTGTGATGACACGATTTCTCAAGGCCAAGGTACGGATAAATCGATCCTGGGCTTGAGTTGTCGCCCTTGGTCGACCTGAGCGTGGTCTGTCCTGTACAGATTGTGTATCACGGTATCTGGACCATAGCCTGCTTATGACAGACTGAGAAACATTCATCGTCCGCGCCACAACCGCCTGTGTTGTGCCGATCTGTAGCATGCCAAGGGTACGTAACCTTTCATTTTGGGTAAGCCGACGCATATCAAAATTTGTTTTCTGGTCACTAAAACAATTAAACTGATGTTTCCACCCTGGAATTCAATGCCACAATGACTGTAACATTCAAAGTCAGAGTCGTGCAAATCTTGGGTTGGACCCCCATGATGATCCCAAGCATCAACTGCATTCCATGCGGTAGCTATTGGTGCGTTTTGGCGTCACATGTAACTGGAAATGTTTCTTCTGTTAGGTTCTATAGTGACTTTTTTCGTAGTCATTTGCATATTTTAGTATTATGCCCCCAAAATCAAATATCCCCTACTTTTTTTGAATAGTAGCTACGGTGTGACAACCATGGTCAGTGGGTGGGAGTCGGGTGGCTCAATGAGTTAAGTAGCGTGTACACTATCAACTTCTCGGTAACATGTTGACCAACATTTCGACAACATACCTGGTCAACATACATCTGTACCTTGTATACACTGGTTAACTCTTCGGTAACATGTTTGGCAAAACGTGCTGTGTCCACGCCATGTCTATAATTAAACAGGTATTTTGTAAGAGCTAAATCTGCCTATTGTAGGTCTTTCATTTATTGAGCTTGGTTCATATGAGATTGATTGTTCACGTGGGATCCAATGAAAGGACCCTTTCCTAAATATCTAAATATTTTCTACCTCTCCTAAAATATTGTTTTGTTTGTGACAAGGAATATTAGGTACATGATGTTTATTCGATATTGTTGCAGGGCGTTGGTGGATACCATTGGGCATTTTGGACCTTTTCACTTATATAATACATGATATAGATTCGATCTGAATATGCTTGGATGCTGCTTGGGTAGTTTAGTTTTCGTCATATAAAGTTGCTTAGCCTAGTGTGGGTGTGTCTGGAACACAAAAATTGAAAAAAAACAAGTGTATGACGTTCTGTTCTTTGGATGGTTGCGCATTGAAGGGCCAAATTTAAATATTTAAAGCATCTGTACATACTCCACTGGATTGATCCTAGTGTTTTACTACATGCTTTTTAGTACAGTATACCTACGCGTAATGCTCAAAGAACGCCCGACATATCTTTCATGAATATGTATAATTCACTATTTTAATGTCTACCGTGACATGCAACATTATAATCAGTTGTTGAACACAGACCAACGTATATAATTCGAAATATTAGTTTTGGGGCAAGGCCTCTCTACATAAAACAAACGTAACCCGAATGCTATGATGAAACCAATACCAATCGACTCAGCTATACGTGAACCTGTCATAGTGTTATGTAGTATTCCAGGAAAAAGTGTAGAAAAGACCATGTGCGCTATTTGCATATTTCGGTAAATATAACAAAAATATAAAATGCACTCTAATTAATTGTTTAACATTTAATTAGAACATAAAATCAAAACATCAACAGTCGATAATCTTGAGTCAGATTTGAAAGAATGCCATTAACAGATTCAGCGAACGATATAGGTCTTGACAATATATGCAAGGAATGCCTAAAATTACCAAATGTTCAATTCATCACATCGTTGTAAATTGTAAACAGAGTTGGACTATTTTCGGATTGACATCCCGTTTAAGTCTGGCTCACGATCTGGCGTACGTGTTTTGACACGGACGGGTTGTAAGATCTGGTAGCTCGCAGACCAGCTGCAAGAAACAGTGTAAAAACTTTGTATGTGTAGGGCCAAAAGACTCTACGATCAGTCTGCGATCTTCTACGGTGCCGAACATACGCAAATGACGCGTAACTCTCACGCACGGGCTTACTAAAATTTCCCTTGTAGACTGCCCGTGGTAGCACGTACGGCGGGTTGTGAAGTAGGGCTTTGGGACGCAACTTTCACAATATTCTAGTTTGCGAGGGATTAACAATTCCTCAAATAGCGACCAGAGGCTTTAAGTAATTCCACTCCATACAGAAACAATTCCAATAGCACTGAGGTTTATATAAACCCGCAATACCAGATCTAGTATTCACAATGATCACTGAAATAGTTAGAGGTGGTTTATTTGTAGCCATTTAGTTAAAGACTAAGGTCTATATTCGTTTTTCTTGTTTTAAATGCATCAATTTGATTAATTAAAGATGGCGCGTTGGTGATTACCAAGGAAAAAAATATTAAGAAAAACTGTCCAGTTGTTATGGTATTTTTTTTTTACCTCAAAAGACAAGTTATATTTCCATATATGGAGTAGTTGCGTCTTGTTTTGGGGTATTTTTTTTAAAGCCATCGTTATTTTTATAAAATATGCATTTGGCATTTATTATGTTTAAACAATAATAAAATTATAATCTAAATTTTCTTTTGGGCAACATGTCGTGTCTTATTATCATTTAAGGACCATGTACAATGTAAGTTATTTGTCATTTTAAGACATTTTAACTATTCAAATTCTTTTTTTAGTCAAAGAGACTAATAATATGTATCATCATGTCATCCTTTAGCATGCGTATCGTCTGCTTTTAAAGTCATCATCGAGTGCATCAGGTTTTTTTTTAAATATATAATTAAGACGGAAAATCAGACGTGATAAATTTGTCATATACGCACACGAATATGTCAGAAAACGAAGGATTAGTTCCGACAAACAACCTGTTTTACGTAAATCGGTAATTGCTATATAAACAACAGCAAGACCTGTTTTTGCAACACATCCAGTATTTCTGCTGCTTGTTTTAATTACTGCTGGTAAGTCAACTTTTCTAAATACAAAGAGAGAGAGAGAGAGAGAGAGAGAGAGAGAGAGAGAGAGAGGTGGGGGGTACGTCCACTCGGTAAAAACTAGGGAATTTCGAGACTAACATATGGTTCAATTTTATTTCAGTTATTCATTTCCGCGAGGACCCAGAGAAAACCCATGTGCTTAGACAGGCGACCCTACTCCTTGTCACATACAAGCGGGTAATCTAAACCACGCCACTTGACTCAATGACAGAGCTTCTGATCCAACGCACACGCGTTAGCCATTCGTCCACCTACCTACCCACCACCTACCTACACTAGATATGCCCGTTTTCTTAAAATTTCTTCATTGTAGTACCGTTTAATGTGTAAGACTACCCACTATTTTTTTCAAATTTGAAAGCTATTGAATTGAAAATGGTAGTGTAATAAATAAACTAGCTTTAAAATTGTGACCATGGTAATGTGTCTTTTTGAAAGTATAAAAAACTTCGTTACATCATATCTCTGTTACTAATTATATATAAGTTATGTTTGCCAAATTTGCAGGATTTATAAACATAGAATCAGTTAGTGAATTTGCTCATACACAGTACTGGCCCCAAACCGAACAGCAGCGCTACGACCTACTCTTATTTCGATTCCTTCTTCTAAGGGGTCTTTTACGTGTACGTCAATGTGTAAACGGGACCTGTTTTTCATATCATCCGAACGACTATACGCTGTCCCTTGCCATGCCCTGCGTCCATAACGGATATGGGCGAACCACACCGGAAAACTTTGAGGATATTTCTTGACCAACAAGGTCAACAATTGAGTTAAGTCGCGTGGTTTCGATTCCCCACTTGTACGTGACAAGGAGTAGGGTCGCCTGTCCTGCTAAAGACTGGGAATTATTGAAATAAAACTGAACCATAAGTTATTTCCGAAATGACCTAGTTTGTGTCGAGTGGACGTTAAATCTACTCCAACTTCAACCCCTACCACTATCCCCTTTGTAGTCTGAACACGGCGTTTGGGAATTTAGCATTAATGTTACCTATTCCTAGTCCTATCACTAACATATTCGTGTAGGAATTTAGGTTTAAGGTTATCTACTCCTAATCCTACCCTACTACTAACACTTGATAAGACTATAACATGGCGTGTGGGGATTTAGGATTGAGGTTACCTACTCCTAATCCTACCCCTAGTATTAATACTTGTTGAGTCTAACACAGCATGTTGGAATTCCTGAGTTCTCAATATTACCTCTAGCATTAAGCCTTGTTGAGGCTAACACAGCATGTTGGAATTCCCGAGTTCTCAATATTACCCCTAGCATTAACCCCCGTTGAGTCTAACACAGCATAGTGGAATTCCCGAGTTCTCAATATTACCCCTAGCATTAACCCTTGTTGAGTCTAACACAGCATGTTGGAATTCCCGAGTTCTCAATATTACCTGAAAAATCTTCATTGTTTTTTGGGGGTTTGGGGGTTTTTTTTAAACATAATTTCATTTCAATGGATAAATAGGGGTCAGGGAACAACCATAGCGTTTTACGGAACACCCTATGACCGGGATTAAACATATATACAGTGTTAGCAAAGGTCTGTCTCTGCGCCAGATGCATTATGTACGATTTAGATAAAGAGCTGACAGTTCTTGCTATAATAGTTTAAAGATAGATAATGAAAAGGGAATCAATTGAGAATTACTTTATTCTGAGCGAAGTTATGAATATTGTAAGTTTTGATAAGAATAGCGATCATGTTCCAATCCATTAACCATCACAACCCTCCGATTGTCTAGAGAGTTGATTATGTGCTTGCCAGCGAAAAGGAAGACCTGCAATAGACAGATTTAGCTCTTACATAATGTGTCTTTCAGTTTTTGTTTGTCCACTTTAATTGTCGACATTTAAAAATTCGTCAGCTTTTTGTCTCATCAGTATATCTTATATATAACAGTACAACCAAAGTTATTTCGCTATGTAAATGATTTTATATAATACTCGTTTATTTCAGATACTATTTATAAAATATAGATTATGACTTTAGCAGCACTTCTCGTTGGATTGTTCGCAGTCGTTGGCCTTAGCAATGGTAAGTTTAAAATCGTCTTTATTTTGTTTTCAAAGACTGTACACATTATTTCGTCGGACTGAACGGCAGCTTTCACCTACGGTGGTATCACAGACAAGCCTATATGTGAAACACCCAACGACAAACCCATTGTCTGTGATACCATCCTCCTTGGACGTGGACTTTAAGTCCTGCACGCATACAAATAGTATTTCTTTTAGTGCAGTGGTGGTGGGGGAGGGGTTGTGATAAGGTGCAATACTGGTGCGTATCGGACCACAACTTCTTGGGTTATGCCCCTGCCTACCATATACCTATGAAATATCTACGAAGGTTTTGGGCCTTCCAGAGCCCACATGTTGTGGTCCGATTCAGATATATGTTAACTGCCAAAAGATCTTGGAGGAGTTCAGATTTGATCTGTATCAGACAGCATCTTCTTAAGTTATGACCCTTGCGTTTTACGCAAAATTTGAATTGTGTACAAAGTCTGTAAGTCTGTAGACCCTCTACAGAACCAATAATTGTTGGTCCTATTTAGATGAAACTTAACATATATATTAAGGATCAAAAGATCTTGGGGAGTTGCGATTTTGGTCTACATCAAACCGCAACTTCTTGGGTTATAACCCTTGATTTTTACGCAAAATGTGAATAGTACTCAGGCGCGGACCCAGGAATATTTGCAGGAGAGGCTTTGCCAGACTCCTGTTAAGGACATTTGACTGTTGACAATGCATGATGCCATCATCGTCTCTAAATTACGTAGGCATACATACACACTGAGCTTTTTAAAGAGAGTAATCCAACATCCCATTTGATGTCAATTTTTATAATGAATTAATAGGATTACGTTGTGATTCAATTTCTTTGATTCAAAGCATTAATTGTGATATCACATTTCGTGTTTTGAATGCCTATCCCATCCCACCATCTGATGATGAATGATAAAGCACACAACCTTTGCACTTTTCTCATAAAGTGTTGTTTTACAATTTTTGTATGTAGCTGAGCAGGGTGCGGTTTGGACTCCCCCACCCCCGCCCACTGCATCCGCCCCTGTGTACTAGGGTCGTGGGTTCTCTAGAGCCCTTAATTTTTTGTCAAATTTAGATAAAGATTTATGTTGATGGTCAATAAAATAGGAAAGTGTGTAAAACCTTTATTTAACGTCCGTTTCTACCAAATTGATATCGCCGAAAGTATTTGGTTGCCAGAAAGTCTACCATCTTTAAAATAGCTGCTGCACTATTAAAGTTAGTAAACTGGACAAATGGATTCACAACTAAACATACTCCGGGTTCGAATTCACGCGTGTGCCTTGTCTAACATGGTTTTTACATAGCACGGACGTCAAACCCCCTCATTTCTCACGTTAACAGAAAATACTATGTTTACAGCTCCGTTCCTTAATATGCGAGATTATAATTATATATAACCAAGAAAATATTACACAATAAACAAAGATGCACAGTGCCAAACACCAAACATCAAAATGTGATCTCGGGTCATCCAGTGCCGCTACGTGGATCTAGAAATAAAGTAATGCTGATATTTTTGATTTTTAATTTCAGCATTTATGATGAATCCAATGACACTGGCACTGATGACTGGTGGTGGAGGTGGCAACATGCGTAATCTTGCGTTGATGTCAGCACTCAGTCAGCCAAATGCGGGCGGAGCAGGTGGTGCTGGTGGACCTGGGAGTAATATAATGCAAATGATGATGAAAATGCGTATGCTTAAAAAGATGGGAGAAAATGCGCCGTTATTTTTGGCCATGATGCAAAGTCAACAAGGAGGACAGGGTGGAATGGGAGGTATGATGGACCCAATGCTCATTGCTGCTATGTCCTCCGGTAATGACAAAATGATGTCTATGTTACCAATGATTATTATGCAGAGACAACAAATGATGCAGCGTCAACAAATGATGCCACAACAGTCAATGATGCCGAATGCAGCTGCGTCTACGGATCCAAGTATGCAAAACAGCCCCGCCTTTTAAATATCACGTGTTTCATGACTGGACTTTAGATTTATTATATGTGAATATTTTTTGTTTGTTTGTTTTTATTTTAGTTTTTTTTACAATGATTACATGTTTAAAAAATATTGTATGGACATTGTGATATTTAATATGATGGTTGGATTTTGCATGAATAAATGAAAATAAATATTTGTGATTGTCTACCAGTTCGCTATCGTACTAAGATCTAGAAATGAAATGGGCTACATCATGCAGTGTGCTATGAGAGCAGATTTACCCTGCCCGTGGCGTTTCCGCCCACAAAGATGGACTAGCCGTAAAATATTAGCCAGTAAAATTTGCAGGTACGAAAACACTTTTCGGCAAAGAGCCGTTAGAGACTTAACTGAACTTGCCGGATAGAGCAATACACAATAATACATACTTATGGAAAGGAGCGACGTTTCCAAAAGTATTCGCTCAATGTTATCCAGCTACATGTAATATGGAAAAAACAGGTATTTATTTATTTGGGCAAGTTTCGAAGAGTATTCTCTTAACGTTTTCAAGCTAATATGGGAAAACAGCTACTTATTTATTTTGGCGACGATTCGAAAAGTATTCTCACGGTGTTATCTAACTATTTATTTGAACCAAATTCCGAAATAAATAAGTATGTGTTATTGTGTATCCAAGCAGATAGTGAAGAAAATATTAAATTTGAAACCATCCCTTTTCTTTTGTTGTACATGCTGGCATACCTAAGCTTTCGATCTGTTTTGATATATTTAAAATATCCTCCTGGCTCACATCTTTAAGTACTAGTCTCTACATATTTGAGTCTTGAGGGCATACAATCAATGAGACGAATCCTGGCATCACCCAAACTCTGCACGCCACTGTTAGAGTGAAACTAGTTTCCTGAACTCTACAATCTACCGTGTTATAATTTGTTTAAAACAGGGTGGGATAATATCATTTATTATTCCCGGCTTTATAGTTATACCACACTGATCACTTAGTCAGCTTTCCAGCGATACATGTGGTCAACTTGAAGGATTCGCCCTGTGCGAAATGTCACCGCATTTAGTATGATATATGTGGTCAACAAAACAAAAAACCCTCTAAACTGCGTGAAATGTTAATATACACTTCATCATAAACAAAGGGCTATCCAAAATCATTTGAAACATTTATATATGTAAACAAGCAAGAATGTTTGGGGATCGGTTGATAAATGGTTGAATTCCATTGTGCTGGGCGGACTGGATTAAAGCTTATAGATAAACAGTTCGAGTATAACTATTTGCAGCACGCAGAGATGGGCTTAGTACACGTGATATCCCTTCTCAATTGTGTTGTATTTTTGTATGCTTCATGGGCACCTTCATATGAAAACAGCTTTAAAGCTGGTTACTTTTTTCCCGAAAGAAAGGTTATGTAAAAATAATGTTTATCTTCCTCATAATAAAGTGAAAAGCATGCTCAATCTTTCTTGATTTTTTTAATATTTGCACACAATAAGCTCTACCTTTATTTGTGTGTGTGTGTGAGGGTGTGTGTGGAGGGGGGGGGGCCCTTACATGTGGGCTTTAGATCATAAGCTGGGTCCCGCGTGGCATGTTTTCAACAAATAGGGATGCCTGCATAACCTTTGGGGCTTCCGGTCCTCCGCCACACACACTGCTAAAAGAGCTGTACATTTAAACGAATTATTGAAATCAGTTCTCGAAATATCCTAGCTTGCGTTCAGTGGACGTTAAACCCATCTTTCTTCTCTCTTTTCTTTCTATCACTTTATTCCCGTTTTTGCTAGGGGGCAATATTTCCATGTAATACAATATGTTAAACAGTTCTATTCCAAGTTCCATGTACGTGATAAAGAGTAGGATCGCCTGTCAAACCAGGTTTATTTTGGCCTTGACTTCCTATTTCTTCTCAGGTTAGTTCGGCGTAGGGGATATAGAAAACAAAACGTCGAGCCATCCCGTAGATTATAGGCCCCATGGGCTATTCAATCCCATTGCGTCAGTGCAGATGGGGTAAATTCCCGGGGACACCACTGACACACCTTATTATCCGCGGAATTCATTAACCAACTTCTGCTTTGCTTTTTGTGTGCGTGATATAACAGGTTGGGCAATCTTACCAAACTGGAAAATTTCAGTTTAGGTAAACATGTTGTCACTTTTCAAAATAATGTAATAATTATCATTATATTTATAATGTCACTACTTTATCCACAGGTAAACATATCATAGTGCCATTAACAAACACGAATGTCATTATGACACAACCTGTCACAACTCATCACGCCGAACACATCACACCACAACTTGACATTGACAGTTTCAAGACAACGTCTGTCCATCCAAAAACAATGTTCGTGACAGAATCTGGCCTGGGGGGCTCCTATAATTGTATAATCAATCTTTGCGTTGTATTATTTGTCACATCCATAATCACGAGTCGTAAAAGCCTATTTCCTTTAGTCAAAATGAGATTAGAAAATCACAGCACTGGTTTGTGATAGTTATGGGAGCCACAGTGGCTCGAGTTCGCTTCCGGTCGTAGTCAAATTCCAGCTGCCAAGGATGTTGTTTTACGTGCTCGATAACCTGTATATGAGAGATCGATTCTTCGTCACATCCGAAGAACTAGACGCTGTTCTTTGCAAGGTCCTTCATCTTGCGCCACTGAAATCCAGAAATCAGGTTGTAATAACCCGGTTTACTTTTTAGGCCAACGCCGAGATCGAACTTGGCAGCTCCTGGTCAGTGAGTCAGCGCCTTACTCATGGAGCCAGATTATCTAATCCAAAATATCATATGATCGCCATTGCTTACTGCAAATGTATTTAATAATGCATAAACGTTTTTAGGTTTCTTGCAGGACAGAGTAAGATCGTCTACCCTTAACCTTCAATATACACGTTCCTCCCCAACAGAAATATTCTAGACTGTTATGGTAGCCCAGAAAGGCAGAATACTATATAGGAAATATTCTTGAAAATTTCAGTAATTTTGAACAAAATTTCTATGGCATTATCAAATGTGACGTAGAGAAATATGTTGATCTTATAACAAATGCTCAATCCACATACCCCCAAAAACAGCAAGGTTACAAAACAACAGTTTCCACCGAGTTAGAATTAATAACACACAAGCTAATTTAGAAAATTATAATTCTGTACAAAATGAATTTAGTATTGTTTGTAAAGTGAAAATAGATAATAATCAGAAGCAGGTATGTAGCGATCTCTTGAAATCCCTAGATGATCCATCCCAATTTTGAGGTGTTATTAAACAGTCATGGATCTCTTGTTTGCTAAAGATGTATGTGGTAAAATGCATCATGTATTGAAAAATATTTCCAAATCAGTCTCGTCTTGTGTAAAACTGGGACCGGAAATAACTTCATATTTCCCACGTCTATCTGGGGTACGCCAAGGTTGTATACTTCGTCCAATCATGTTTCTGCTTAAATCAATTGGTCGATTGTGACAATAATCAAAGAAGAATGAAGTAAACAACACAGGATCTACTCTTTTCTTTAATGTTAAAATTACCCAGTTCAAATCGTGATTTTCGGACATAAAAAATGCCATCCGCACCATACTTTTATTACTGTTGACTTCCATTATAAATGAATCAACAACCACGTCATCTCCATAAAAATGAAAAGAAATTAGAAAATAGTTTTCGCCTGTCACCATAGGGTATGAAAGGATTTTTGTACGTACTTGAATCTCAGAAGATTACAGCTTGTTAATAAAGAACTTTATTGGCTTAACCAAGGAACGGTGTTATTCGTAGCCACAGTATTTAGGGTTAGGGCAACTTAAGGGATTAGAGTTGGGGCAATTTTGTATTGGGACACAAGCACAACGAATGCTAGGTAGCTTTAATGCGATAGGGTTAGGTCACGAATGCTTCAAAAGAATTTATGAATACAGTATTTACGAGGTAATCTTTATTCGTAAACACTGTGTTACGAATAACCTCCTCTTCTTTAAAACGTGTTTATACACTTTAGTTTCAATAGTGAGGCCAAGTTTTGATCAAGGCTTCCAGTTTCTCTCCAGGGCAAGCTGTTGGATTTACATCTCGATGTCCACGGAGTATATAGCTGGTTGATATTTTCCCGTTTTTAACACCACAATTTATGAGTTGTTTCACAGCATTCAAGGCGGCGGTATTTGGTAAACGGCTTGTAAAATCACCAATGATACAAAATCCTGAAGTTATTACACAGTAAACGTTTATAACTAACTCATATTATCCATAATGTCGACATCACAAACATGTATTATGATTAAATATTTGTTCATTTGAGTCAATATTGATGTGAAGAATGGGCTCCTGATACCTACGTCAGATTACAAACTGAAAATGATTAGTTAGCTAACAATAAATAAAATAAGCAGGGAATTCTAAAACGTCAAGCGAGTGTTCGCAAATATGGTGGTATTTTTAGATTAGAGTTTTTCCGATTATAACTCACAAGATATCTTTTTGTAGAAACAAATATCAGTGCCCCGGTGGCTCAGTGTGTAGGACGCTGGCTCACTAACCAGGAGATCTCGGGTTTGCTCTCGATGTTGGCCACAAAAGTTCCTCGGGATTTTCCGGCGTTATTTCCTCAGTAGAAAGGACGAACAGCCCTTGAATTTGAAATAATAGTAGGTCGTAGTACCACTTTCCGGGTATAATTTCCCTTATCACACACTGTATGGCGTATGTCCGTCTTCATTATCCCAGTCGGTGCAAAAATGTATGTTGTTAAACCCCATTTCATTTCAATTTTTTATTTGAATATTTTTCCAATCAATTGGGTTAAAACTTCATACATCCCCCAGAACGATACGTGACCACACTAATGTCATACCGAACGATTTCGGAAGGATGTGACTGTTTAGACAAGGGGGGTTAGATGGCCGAATGGTTAGCACGTGCGCGCTGTATCATAAGGCCTGTCATTGAGTCAACTGGCGTGGTTTCGAATCCCGGTTGTACGTGACAAGGAGTAGGGTCGCCTGACCAACCTCGTGGGTTTTCTCTGGGTCCTCCGGTTTCCTCCCACTGCTTAAGACCCCTACGCGCAAGCGAATTATTGAAAAAAGATTAAACCATATGTTAGTCCCGAAATGACCTAGTTTGTGTCGAGTGGACGTTAAACCCCATCTCTCTCTCTCTCTCTCTCTCTCTCTCTCTCTCTCTCTGTTTAGGCAACAAACGATGTATAGTGGTTCCAATGGTAAGAAAAATGGAGGTCTCGTGTACCTATGTTCACGCAAGTAAAGAAACTTTGGTATTTGGATTTGAAAAGAAGTCCAGGCAGAATTTCCCACGTAGCACACTGCCCAGCTTTATTTTCCCAGTTGATAGAGAAAAATAGGAGAACCTCCATTTCATCACTATGTACTTACCAAGACCATTATAATTATAGTTATATGTATGTGCTCCTATAATATCCCAGCCTCTCGCCTCGTATACATTGCCATCTTCGCCAATTACAAATGTATACCCTATATCTGGCCATTCTGTAACATAAAATATTCGAAATGAATATCAAAACCCAGAGTAACGCGTAATTGAACTGGATATGAGGCAATCCGCCGAATATCACTATTGGTGTTAAGTTTGCTGTTAAAACAGTACGCTTTAGAGCATTAGGTCAGTAATTGGATCAAGTGTCGTAGTTTTAGGACAGATGGTCTGTTATTGAGTTAATGTGGCGTGGCTTCGATTTCCAGCTTGTCCGGGACAGGGATCATGCTCACCTGTCCAAACAGCGTTTCCTCCAACTGCTAAAGACACAGGTTTTTAAAAACCTCAAAGTAAAGAACCTAAAGTGGATTAATAAAATGCTCTTTTTTTTAAAAAAAAAATTGGATTAACCGTGTCTGCGGTAAAAGAAAAATGGCGTTGCAGTAAGCAGATGAGCATTATTCCGTTACGTCTTTTTTGTAAATCTTTTTTTATTTCATTTCGAGTGAAGCCTGTACTATTACAGGCCCGGGACTGTACAGCACAGTGGACGCTGGCCGCCGGATCCATTCACTTGATTTAATATTTGTTTATTTTTTTGCAATATCTATATTCTGTCTTGTCCGCAGGTTTATCGTGTAGATTTTGTTTTGCATGTAGTGAGGTCCTCCTGCACTTACTAATAGAAGATAGCTTAAAGAAAGTACATGAAAAAGAGAATTGTACCAGTACTGTATTCTAGTACCAAAATGGCCCATTTTCTGTTAAGTTGACTTTAAACCCAATTTCATTTCTTCTTGGTAGAGAGTCTAGGGTATACGAGATTACATTTCTCCTATCACATTTGCAAACAACCAGATACTTTTGCAAAGAACATAAATAAATCATCTTTACTTACTGTGACCATCCATATGGTAGTTTTGGTATTCTCGAACTTTTTGTTTACAGGAATTCTCAGATGTACATCCTGCTGTGGCACCATGATGAATAAAAACATATGTAGGAACTCCCGGGAGATGTCCGATGACGTAATTTGCGGGGCGAGCTCCCCATTCTGATCTTGAAATGATTCTCGGACATCCAGCTAATTGCTGGGTCGATGACGAAGAACCTACAACACATCAGTAGGGACAGTAAAGCAAGATTTTCTAAGGCTTGTTTTTGTTCTTTTTGCATTCCTACTTTCGGGGTGGGGTCGAATGTTAAATGACTGCGCGTTAGAATATAAGGTCTGTCAATGAGTCAAATGGTGTAATTTTGCTGATACGAGACAATCAGTAGGATAGCATGTTTCAACTCGTGGGATTTCTCCGGGGTCCCTGGTTTTCTCGGCCCCTCTCGCCCCTCTCTCTCTCTCTCTCTCTCTCTCTCACACCCCCACAGACACACACAGACGATTTATAGAGAGGCATAAGACATGGATGTTAACATTTTATTGCATTTATTTCCTTTCTTTCTTTTTTATTTATCAGGCCTATTCATTCTACAGTGGTCTTCCTCCACGGTATGATACAAGGGGGTCTCGGGTTAGCTCCGGTGTTAACCAAAAGGTTCCTCGGCATTTTCCGGTGGGTTTTCTCCTTGGCAGTGGTGCAGGACGCCTGGCAAGGACGGTATCTAGTCGTGCGCATGGTAAAGACCAGGTCCCGTGTACTCATTGACGTGCACGTAAAAGAAACCTTTACAGTTGGAATTCGAAATAAGATTGCCCTCATAGCACCTTACATGGCGTATGCCCATCTTCATTATCCGAGTTAAAACCCATTTCATTTGCTTTTGGTCATATGCCGTGAACTTATGGGTAAAGGGAAATAACTCTTCTTTTTTATTTAAAGAAAAAAAGGTGACTATCAGATCACAGTTCGTTTCTCGTTAAATTCAGTGTTTTTTATCTATACAAAATCGAACAGCAAATCTACAAGCACATACATCTTACAAAGGAACAGTGGATGAAACACAGTGAAAATTAATATTAAAAGATTGAAACGGTCAAAGTCTTACCTCCGCCACAAGGATGAATGTTCAGCCAATTTGTTGCTGCCCAAGCAACCTGAAAGTATTTAAATGAAGATAATTGTTAAATTGTTGGATGTAATATTTAAAGGGGGATAACTATTGGATGTAATACATATCATTGCTTGCATGTTTGTTTGGGTTTTTTTTAAATCACACCACTTAGCATTCTAGTTCAATATGTGAAATTATTATAATAGAATTTAATTGTACCAAGTGTTCTCAAAAGCACGGGGCATGCCACTACTTCGGGCAGATACTTCGATATCGGTGGATAGAGCATGGATTTAAAAACTTTAAAATTGGCGGTAGTCTTTTAATGGGGGGGGGGGGGAGTGGAGGGGTGGGGGTCGACTATAGACAAATGTTTGTCCAAAACTAACCTGACCATTGAATTGTATTTTAGCCCAGGTATAGCCATCAGCTGATATTTGTTGATCTTTAGAAGGTACACAATCACCAGCATGTAAGCTTCCTAACAATGTATGGCTCGTTCCTGCTCCATTTCTTACATGTAGTTCGTATGTAGCACAGGCACAGTTAGCTGCGTGTGTTTCGTAAAGATATAACAATAGCAGTAAGATACACAACATCTGAAATCAAACAGTGGAGTGTAGAGGTTTATTGTTCCCCGGGGCCATATGCCCCCAATGCTCAAGTTTTGGACCTAGTACTAAGAAATGTGAGAATTGAAGACATTTTAAATATGTACAAAGCGATTTTACGTAAAACCAGGGGCCATAAATCAGGAAGGTACGACCTGATACGCACAAGGAACTCAGATCTTAATAATTCGCTTGCGCGTAGGGGTCTTTAGCAGTGGGATGAAACCGGAGTACCCAGAGAAAACCCACGTACAACCGGAGAATCGAAACCACGCCAGTGGACTCAATGACAGACCTTATGATACAGCGCGCACGGACTGTGGACGAACTCCCGGGCGGACAGGGACGACGACAATATACGTCCACATGGAAATGTGGGCGGATAGAAATCATGATATGAATCATCGCTCTCGGGGCAGTGGTAGTCAGGTGGAAAGGACACTGGACTCCTCAATAGAAGGCCCCGGGTTCAAATCCCTTGAGACTTGCGATCACTGTAAAGTAGAAATCGTTGACTAAGCAACAAATAACTTTAATAAATGAAAATATACGATACTAACAGATCAAAGACGTCATGTAGTCATTAAGTAGGTATTTTGTCAATTAGGTGTTAAAACCGTGACTACTGAATGATATACACCACTATTGTACAATTTTATGTAACCAAATATAGTGATGGGTGTTATAATTAGTCACCCTTGTACACCAGTAGTGACATCTTTTACAGCTAGTTACACACCTGCTAATTAATGACAACTGTATAATTTCTAACCCCTTTCTAAACATACTAAACATTAGTTTATAATAATGACCATATATATCATTTAATGATAAAAATAGTCATTACTAAAAGTCCCAGGTTCATAAATCAACGGTATCAGCTTACCAGTATATATTCTCGTCCATTAGGCATAACAGAAATGTAAGTCTAGTCGTTCGTATGGAAAGAAAAACTGTAAGAAGGGTGAATGTCTGGAGTTATTATCATGACAGCTCTGTAGTCGTTCGGATTGGACGAAAAACCGCGGTTTAGTGTACACATTGCCGAGCACGTAAAATATCCCTTGGCAGCTGGAATTTGATATAAGATTAGACTATAGCGGCGCTCTCCGGGTAATATTTGTCTCATGGCACATTGTATGTCGTATGCCCGTCTTCATTAGCCCATGCAGTTGGTTGGTCGTTAAACTCCAGAATGAGCTCGATTCTGACCGCGGAAGGAAACGAGCCATGGAAATGCGTCTTATACAAATAACCACGTGTAGAGAGAGAGAGAGAGAGAGAGATGGGGTTTAACGTCCACTCGACACAAACTAGGTCATTTCGGGACTAACACACGGTTCAATTTTTTATTTCTATAATTCGCTTGTGCGTATGGGTCTTTAGCAGTGGGAGGAAACCGGAGGACCCGGAGAAAACCCACGAGGTTGGACAGGCGACCCTCCTCCTTGTCATGTACAACCGAGGATTCGAAACCACGCCAGTTGACGCAATGACAGATCTTATGATACAGCACGCACGTGCTAACCATTACCCCACCCCCTAAAATAACCACGTGTACCCCAGACTTCTTACTATGGTTTTACTTTTACGTCACCTAACACAACACTACACAATGAACCTCAAAACAGAGGTGAGACTGGGAGGTAAAACGGTTAAAATACTTACTGTTGTCAATGTGTTAATCATGGAATACAATAGTGGTGGGAATAAAACTGATACAAATTCTCACTGTTATAAATTTGTTAATCTGTCGAAATTCACTCTATCTGGGTCATGTACTGATTGTTTTTCCCAGGTGTTATAAGGGATCGGCGATTCATATATTGACCTATATTTCTAATCGGTGTACATTTGAATTATTACTTTGGTCTGTAATTGCGAATAGATCCAACTGGTAGGGTGCCCCACCTAAATAAATATCTCCAAATAGCTCGACAATTACACCACAATATTTATATAATATATATACCAATCCTTAAATCTGTTTGGCACATTTATAGTCACTAAATAAATGGTCATGTTGTACTTAATAAGCTATGACCATTTAACCATCGATAAATAATAGACTGAAAAATGGTTCCGATTGTCGTCCATAATATCCAGTCACTTTTGAGCAAAAAATAGGTTTCGTATCCTTGTTTTGAAATTAGTCTCGCTTAACCAGTCTACCAACCATTCTCCGTCTGATTGACAGGCCGGGATAATCAAGACTACTTTTTTTTACAAAACATGACAGAAAGCTGCAACAAGAAATTGAATTTAGATACACGCACGGTAGGCAACTCAACAAATGTTTTAAGAACCTTATAAAAGTTAAATGAAACTACTGCTAGCATCATGTTCCTGTCTAACCCGAGTTTTTCAGAGATATTATTTGTACTAAACCAACAGATGCTGCTCCTAACGGTATAGTTAATGATAATGCAATTTAAAAAATAAAACGAAAGTAATTTCTAAAGCTGCTGTAATAACCAAAAAGCTAAATAGTACTGCTATTCAGAATCGTCAACAATAGATTTTTTACGGCTGTAATAGTTGATAGATGTGTTGAGAATTTCACGTGCGATGGCTATTTATAGACTCAAAGACATGCAGGACTAGGCAGAAATCACTTCGAGACAAGCCACTGAAGCGTGCACATTCACCGTGTCGAGTACTACTTTTAGTAGGGAAAATTTTAGGCACATGGGGCACCCTACAACTGGTACCAGGTCGTAATACGGTAGCTATCACTGAGAGAAGTTGAGGTAGTCGAGTGCAGCGGCCAATGTACGCTTTACTAAATTGTCCCGGATCCTACGGTACTCCTTTCGTGAACGTAGAAAAACCTCTTGTAATTTTTAACACTAGGTTCACTCTTCGGGACGGGCAAAGAAAGTGATACGCCCGTTAGCATTTTACCGTTCACATAAAACAGATCAAAGAAAGTATCCATAATATAAGCAAGGTGCTCGGGTAGTTGAGAAAGGAACGCGTTGCCCAGTTTTTCGGATGGTGCAAGAAACTGAGAATAGGAATATATAGAAAACCGCTGTCCTGATCAATTTTCATTCCTAGCATTGCACACATGGCCATATTAAACAAAATTAGCCTCACATGATTCTTAAAACGGCTGACGTATTGTGCTTTTTTCTAACATAACTCTCAGGTAGTTAGAATGGCACGAAATCTGTTTTCCCGTTTACGGAGAGAGAGAAATGGGGTTTAACGCCCACTCGACATAAACTAAGTCATTTCGGGACTAACATATGGTTCAATTATATTTCAATATTTCGCTTGCGCATCGGGGTCTTTAGCAGTGGGAGGAAACCGGATGACCAGGAGAAAACACACGAGATTGGACAGGCGACCCTACTCTTTGTTAGGTACAATCGGGGACTCGAAACCATGCGCCAGATGACCCAGTGACATACCTTATGATACAGCGCGCACGTGCTAACCATTCGGCCGTCCAATGGGAAGTGCATTTGAACATCTAGTTTTGATTTGCTATCCGGAACATGCAATGCACAGTAAATTTTGTTCACTGTCTAAATTATGAGGTGCCACCAGATGCTACAGAAAGATGACACATGCTGACTCGTTTAACATAAAGAGGATCTTATTGATAACGGAATACTATTTTCGTCCAAATATATTTATTATATGGAAAGGCATATATACACATAAACAGGATTGCACACACATGCTGCCTTTCATAGCCACAAAATATGCGCAGATGATATTAATGTTATAATACCTGCGTCCCCCCCCCCCAAAAAAAAAGCCCAGATTCGAACGGTCGGAAAATAGGGCGGGTTATCTTAAACATAGTTATTTTCCCCCTTTGATCTTATTACGAATATACAGTAGAATATGTACGAGCAGCCATTCCTATTCAGTGACATCTCCTTGTAAGCGGTCACGATAAATTCCCCCCCCCCGTTAAAATTCTATTGTTTCATCTCTTTATTCATCGGTCACTCCTCTAATGCAGCCAGCGGGCACTATTCTACTAATAAATTTAACAAAACATCGCCCATTCAACGACCATTGTTGGTCCAAATGAAATATGCAGTGATGGCGTTGTTGTTCAAGCGATTTTGACAATGAATGAATATTTTAAGTTTTAAAACGTTCTTTTAGTTTAAATGTTGAATAGTGCTAGTGATACGATTGATCATCTGACTCCACGTCATCTAATAGAATAGTTGATCGAATAGAAACAGATTGATTAACCGTGAATGATTCCTCGTCACTTGTATACGACGTAATTGAATGATGATCCGCCATATGTTTGAGTGCATCTCCTGGATTATCTGAAATGAAATATTTCAATACATGAACATATATGAGTCACGGGGTTCAGTCGGTATGATGCTGGCTGACTATACACCCATACTGACTTTAGGTTGTCTATCTTCAGTTAGCTCCGCTTGAGAACAGGCAT